GACAGAACGAATATATAATAGTGATTCGAGCCGGTCGATATTGTGTTCTCCGCATTGCCAAACCGGAGCGATGAAGCCTCAGCTTGAGCATAAGACCGTGAGCCGACAGTCAAGTTAATCGCGCTCGTGCGTTTCTACACCGGAGCAATTGCCGAGACGGCCCATCCACGTCATCACGTAAACGAACGACGCGTTGTTCTCATTCGTAATCGAGTGCATACAAATAAAGACAAACACTTGTGACGGCGATACCTGTGCCTATATTATTCACGTCCTATCCTTGCATTCCGTATCCCCTCTCGGGACAATATCAGCTGAATTATATTCAAACATTTTGTGGTCTTTCGAGCCGGATCGGCGTGCAACAGTGACAAGTGGCACAAGAGATTCACATGATACAAACGTGCAAGCAGTTTCGTCTGAACCCTAATAACAAACAAAAGGTCGTTGACAAATTTAACATCATGGAAGAACTATTGACGCAACAACGAGTCATGATCGGTTCAATCGAGCGAACCTTGGAAAACTTCCAAAAAATTGGGAAGGCCAATTTCACGTACGGAATCGTACGCAACCGATTGCAGAGCCTGAAGGAAGCCTTTGCTCGATGTGAGCAACAACATGGACGGATCCTTGCCGCCTCAACGACGGAGTTCATCGAGACCGACAACTACTTCACCGAGGACCAGTTTTGTGCCTGCGAGACGATGTACCTCGCTGCTTCCGACTACATGGCCGAGTGGCAGAGCCTGTTGGAGCCGACGATGCCCTGCTGCCTTGAATCATCACCCATAAGCCACAGACATCACAGCATTGCGCCGCAGTCAACCTTTCAACTCCCGCGTATAACTCTTCCGAAATTAATCAACGACGGTTAGTGCACGAGCACATTCATGCTCTCTATACGCTTCCCCAAGCTAATACAGACTCCGCGGCAGTCCTCGCCGCGTTGCGTGATAAAACGAACGTCGCAGTTCAAGCGTTACGAAATCTCGGGCGCGCTGTTGACACATGGGATCGTTACCAAACCGGAGCGATAAAGCCTCAGCTTGAGCATCAGCATATATAAGACCGTGAGCCGACAGTCAATTGCCGGGACGGCCCATCCACGTGGTCATCATCACGTGGACGAACGACGCAATTGTTCTCATTCATAATCGAGTGTACAGATAAAGACAAACACTTGTGACGGCGATATCTGTGCCTATATTATTCACGTCCGATCTTTGCATTCCGTATCCCTCTCGGGATAATACCAGCTGAATATATTCAAACACTTTTGTTTCAGAAATAAAAAATAATACAAACTTATATTACTGTTTGACGTCTGTCGCTCTGTCTCACAAAATTACGTCAAGTATCCATTTTCGTCCAATTCCGTAATGTAATCGATACGATTCGGAGTGCCGGTTTTTTTAAGAGGATAAGCCCGCGACTTTGAACGGCTTCGGAACACGTCGGATTGCGTTTCCGTCATCGCATCGAAATCCGGCTAATCCGCGAGTGTCGATGACTGATCACTATCGGTCCGGGTCTGCGTCGCACCGAGTCTGTGTGTTAATGGAAATCATACGTGACACGTGTTCGGTTCTAATTATATCCGCGCGACACACGGTTAATCACGAGAACTCGGCCGTAATTCTAGGGCAAACGTGCGTTGGCATCTCTAATGCATAATTCAGAGATGCAGGCGGATATGTATATGTATAAGCGCGATTAAACCCGAAGGATATTGACATCCGTATGTTATGAATATCATATGAATGTGGAAGTCGAGTGATGCGCATGCACAACGGATCTCAATGATCCGTTCAGGAAATGCAAAACACGAATGCAACACGATGCGGACGCGACGCAGCGGCTATAGGTAGATTAACATGGAAGTATTTCTGTCGCAAGATGTTGGATGGAATAGCGAATACACCGAACCGCGTATCTCCCATGTCAAAAACATAGCAAAAGTATATAACTCAAAGCAACATTCAGCTCTACTTTTTATCGCGATAGTTTTTTTTTTTTATATTTTCGTGAAAAGATATTACATCGTGTCAAAAAAAATTGTGCATAAAAGGTAGTATCTGTATGCATAAATAAATATTTTATTTTCAATATTTTGTGTCGCACACATGGAAACATTTTGAACGTTATCAACTTTCGATTTTGAAAAGTAGGTAATGGATATTGCGTTCGCTACTGTAAGTTAATTACAGCGAACTGTGTTAAACAATCAAATCGTACGCATATTTTTTCAACAAAGGTTTGATTGAATTAATGCACGCGCACGTGCTCGATTTAATTAATATTTGCTTTTCTCTGCAACTTACATATAAATAGATTAAATAATTTTATACTTGGTATAAAGAGTAAATATCTTCGCTGAATTAGTCGTCAAATAAAGAGAAGGCAAGAGAAAGCAAGATATTACTATTTCCAGAGATCGAGATTATCTAGTATTTTCCTATGACAACGAGATAAGAATGGCGAAATGCAAAATTTCCAGGAAATAGAGAATAATATTTAAATAAAATATAAAATAACATATAGTTGAAAAAAGTTATCGTGTTGAATTATGTTGGATATATTATTTACTGAAATAAGTCTACTCTATTCACTCATAAATTAAAAATTGTGTAAAATAAAACTTTATAAAATTATTTAAAATATTATATACTTATATTACCACATCGATAAATAGTCACGAAATTATCAAGACTGCATGGTAAGAAGAAATGTCACGGAGTCTTGACCTCTGACCGCAGATTACTTGACTGTTAATAATACTTTTTCTCTCTCGCGTGCACGCGCGCGCGCGCTGAACGTCAAATGTTGACCTGAGATTATTATTCAAAATATGTGATACAATTTTAATATTAATACAAAACATTTAAAAAACGATGAATGTTTAATGTATTTTAATATTGAAATATAACGCGCAATTGGAAATAAAGAAAAAATTCATCTTCTATTACGCATATTTATACTCAATTCTAATATTTTAAGTCGGAATAAAATACGTGTAACAAAATAAATAAAAGTTACACAGCAAAATAATGCAAAAATGGTGAATACTATGATGGTAAACTTATGTAAAATGTATACTTTAACCTGAAAACAAGCGCCTGAAGTTTTATACTCTATAGTATCGAAAAAGTAAAACTCACGTCACAATAATTTTAATATTGCTTCTTTCGTTTTTCAGAAAATATTGAGTAAATTTATATACACACTGTCCTCAAATACTAATAAATTATAGAATTATCAAAAATATGTATAATAATTAATAACAATGATTTAATTGGCGTGAAAAAATCACTTCAAGCATTTATGCAAAAAAAAAAAAAATATCGGGCGCCCGTTTCCGGGTTAATTTTGAAGTGTGTACTTTAATTTCATTGTTGCAAACTTCAGTTCAACTTTACTTTCGCATTCTCGAGCGAAAATTTCAAAGTCCTCCCCCTCTTTCCTGTGATAATTTTTCGTGCTAGCTCTCGCGAGAATTACATCGAGCAAATTTCACGGACGTCAGAGAAAACTGTGCCACCTTGTCAAGAAAAAAAGAACAGGAAGCGTTCAATGGAGCGACATTCAATGAAGAATACTTATTAAAGTCCATTTTCAATAACGCTAGAGCAGCTGGACTATCGACCTCCGATGTGTATAACTTTACTGATGCTTTCATGTAAATTCAACATTGACCTATCGCATCCTGGGTTTATACCAGTGGTAATCGCATTCGACGTGGAGCGAACAAAGTTTCCACTCAAAAGTTTACAACAAAGTGACAGTCCAAGTTATCCTGCCTGTCGAACCAAAAACATAGTTTCTCCGCCGAAAACTATTATACTTTTGGAATTCATTAAAGAACAATCGACTATTTTATCAAATAGGAACTTGACATAAAAACATTGTAAGTTTTAAACATCGAAATTTCAGGAAAAGTAATTTGCTTAAATAATATACTTACTGCTTTAAGAAATAATTAGCTAAATAATTAACTTTGAATTAATTTTATATACTTTAAATAGTTTTAAAAATTACTGTCTTTTAACAACTAATTTTGAAGAAAAAAAAAGATAATGTTAGAAACGCTTCCTTTTAAATTGTTAAATATAACATATAAAATTTTTAAATATAAAATTTTAAGATTTTAAATGTAAAATTAACAAGAGGTAGGATAATTTGCATTTTAATACACACACTTGTATCTTGAAATAAGAACACTTGAAAAGATGTAAACCATGTTTTCCTCTTTTTCACACTGATTCAAGGGAACTGTTGGTATTGCGGTTGGCGATTTGAATACGCGTACTTATGTGTGTGTATGTGCATGCACATTATCCACCTTTGAGATCGTCGTTATACAGTTACACTCAACAAGCGAACCTTCATTAGACGTATGCATCTTGACTTTTTTTGTTATACACTCAGCGGCATGTAATGCGTGCAGAAATAAAAATATGTCGCCGTTGGATGCTCCATTTGTGTGTACAATAGTTATCTTTTAATTAAATATCGATTTACGAGGTCGAGCCGATAATGAGAACGCAAGTGTTCATACTTTTTCACAAAGGCACGAGAGTGACGTGCGCGAGAAGCATTCTCTACGAAATCATAACACAAAGTAGCGTTTTATTTCTTTTACCTCGTTGCGAGACAATTTTTAAATTATTTATACAGTTTCACAATTCTAATACTGCAATTCAAATTTTACGATTTAATTCGCTGATCTATATACTTTATAGAAATTTAATTAAATAATGCAATTCTCATTATCATTATCACTCAAGATACTTTGATATGGATGTCCTTTACGATTGGACGATACGAGTATCTCGGAAGTGATTATGGAGTGCTCGTACATTTACCCTTTCCACACGAGAAATATAATTCATAAATTCACAAATTCAATAAATTGCGAATTGTGCCGATGAACACAACAACTCGTTGACACCACGCATACATCATGTTAATAAAAACGAAAATGTCCTTTAACATCTCAGGGCTGAAGAAGACGGAAGAAGATAATATGTGCGACAAGTTTCTGGCTATCCTGGGAGAAGTGATTGGAACAGCAATTCTAATCTTTTTGGGATGCACGGCAGGCCTGGGCAGCATGAAGCCGTATAATGAAACCGGACCGTCTGTCATACAAATTTCTTTCGCTTTCGGTCTCGCTGTTATGATCGCTATACAGGTATAAATCATTTTGAATCTGACAATTAACATTATCTTCGATAAGAATCATTGATATCGTCTGTGACATGTCAGTACGTTAGTCAAATTTTTAATTTACATATTTTATTTATCTTTTATTTATATATATTTTTAAATTATAACGTAGATTATTTTCCATTATGTATTTATATATTTTAATAACATATCAATAATTAATATACGTTATTTTATGAATGGGATCAAGCATGTATAAAAGCGAGTATTTTTAAGTAGCACTCTGTTGCTCGATATTATAAAATCTTATCAACGGTTGAATGCATATTTGTTCTTTTCCAGTGCGTTGGTCACATCAGTGGCGCTCACCTCAATCCCGCTATCACAATCGCCGCAGTGATTCTCGGAAACAAGACTCTGATAATGGCCGGATTCTACATCATTGCACAATGTTTGGGTGCCCTGATAGGTTTCGGCCTGCTAAAGGTCAATGAATATACTCATTTATTCACAGATTACAAAGAACACATTCAGATTAACGTTTCGGCGGACATATCCCGACAAGATTTCTTTCGCTGCCAACATACTGCTGATAATAATATATTCGCGTTTATATAACGCGTTATCAAAAATTGTTATCTCAAAGTTACAAATATTATCAAGATTATTTTTAATCGCCTGAGCGCCGCATTTGCTCCTAAAGATAAAAAATTATTTCTATGCTGGTTAATTGCAACATCCAATTATCCAAAATGCTAGAATTCCATGGATCGTTGTAAATGAAATTTTAATAACTATAATATATAGTTCAAAAATTATACTTCTTGCGCAAAACAACAGTGAATAATGTAGTGAACTTGCACAAAATATCGATTAAATTTACGTTTCGATTTAATTATTTAATTTAAATTTGAGTTAACTTTTGTTTCAATATCAATTGACAGTTAGTAACGCCGGCAAATCTTATGCACAACGGCGCGGGCGATCCATCCGTCCCGTTCTGCATGACGGACATTAATAAGGAAATAACGGTCGGTCACGGAATCGCGGCTGAAGCTTTAGCTACGGGAGTATTAGCCTTCTTCGCCTGCGGAAGTTGGGACTCGCGAAACGCGAAGAACAGCGACTCGATGGCGCTGAAATTTGGTCTCTGCGTCACCGTCTTATGTCTCGCTTTCATCCCTCACACCGGCTGTAGTTTGAACCCCGCCAGAACGTTCGGACCAGCAGTCTGGAACGGCCACTGGACATATCACTGGGTATACTGGCTGGGACCGATCGGAGGCGCCGTTATCGCGGCTATGATATATCGATCTCTATTTTCGCCTAAGACGAAAGATCCAGATGACAACATAAAAGACATGGGAACCTTCAACGGCATCGAGACGTAAACGGAATCGTACGTACATTTCTGAACTTGTCAAATAAAAACATTGTTTTTGCACGAATCGACTATCAATTTATAAACAACAAAAGTTATAATTAAATAAGAACTTAATTTCGGTCAAAAAATGTGCATTTTATTTAATTATTTAGATAACTTGTTAAATAGTTTATTATCTTAAATTCTTGCATGTGTATTAAATTATTTTTTAAAGTTAAATAACTTTTTTTATTGATCAATCATATTCAATTAAAAAATTATTTAATAAACGTAGAACCGCTTCGCTTGTGTGGATAATTTTTTTTCATCAAAAATTTTATCGACGCTCTGCAAATGCTATGAGCTTGGCACGTTTTCAAATTACTTTTTTTATGCTTGTCCTACTTTCGTTCATTCAGCTACTCGGGTATATCTCCTGGCTATTTTTGAGCGTCGTTACGTCATTTTTACCGAATGATCTACGAACCGAGCTTGTATCGTGCGTACCTTCTTTCAGTGAGCGAAATTGCATTCCGGTCGTCGGTGTTTCACAAATTGAACGAGAAATCCTGATCGCACTGGTATTTTTCCCGGTTGAGAAAAAGAGAGTTGCAAAAGTTGCGACGAAAGAAACTCTCGTGCGGAGCGACGGAAGCCAGATCGGACGGGCTTCGAACTTTACGGATTTCTACTTTCAAGGCGCTCGGAAATGTCCTATTCGAAAATCTTGTAACCCGAAGGATCGCAACGCATCGAAGGACTGCCACGCGACAAGGACTTCTGCGTCGTAGACTGATGTGATGGATTATTTTTGTACAAAAAACACGATGTAATATTAGATAAGGCGTCGCGTAACGTTAGTTTTAGATATAGTTATAGATCTAAAATTTATGACATGTTCGTTATGATTATATTTTATTTACTTTACCGCGTCACGGCCTCGCAAAACACCGTAGAAATGCATTTTAAATAAAAAACGGACAAAATATAAATTATAAATTATTCTTTTTAAAAAAATAAAATTATTTCAGAGCAAGTGTACAGACTATTGTTACAAATGCGATTCAAACAATACCATGATAAATAATAAAATATTTTCAAAAATTTTACTCATAAAATAAAAATATATGACAAATAATTAATGTCATATGCATTTCAAATATATAACTAATATATATTTTGATATAACGAGATGTATATATGAAATATTGCCCAGCCGTGATGTATATTTATATATTTATATTTTTGCTATGTAGTTTATGTAGTCTTTTCACCGCAAGCACTCTCGAAGAAGATCGCTCTATGTCATGTAACACGAAGCGAAGCACCAGAATAATGCATAGTTTCGTCTTGTCTAGTAGTATGCAGTTTCAAGTTAACTCTTCCCGATCCTCTCATTCCTCTTAATTTTTCATTATTTCGTAACAGTACGAAGCGCACGCGTGGAAGAAATCTCTGTCACATGTAATTCGCGGCGGTGCCGGTCGCGGCCCAGTCTCTCGCCGCGCTTTTTATTAATTATTAGCAAAATTTATGGATTACAGACTCGGTTCGTTCGCTCGCAATTCCACTAAATTCGCCGTCATTATATCGTACACGTACGCGATGCAGCTCGTTAAGACCGACGTTGAAGTGGCTGCTCTCGCGCAGCATAACCGTCCTCTCTCTCCCTGTCTCTCTCTTTCTCTCTTATCCCTGCTGCGACGAAATTCGAAATAACGGAATTAGTCTCGGTGAATTCAGGAAATTACCTCCATCGCCGTCGGTCGCGCCAAAGTTTTAATTGTACTCGGTACATATCTGCACACGCGTGTGTGAGTGTGAGCGTGAGTGTCCGTATGCGTGTGTGTGTACGCGATTGCAATTACGTTCCGCGGCTTAATGTATATGTAAATATAAGATACACATTTCGGACCATCTCGCCCGCTTTCTCCCCTCTAACCCCCTCTTGTATAGATAACAATAACTTTAAGAGCCTGAGTGCGAAACCGCGCGCGGTAGATTCTGGTCCGGAATTCGCGAAGCTTCGTTTGCGCGCGAAGCGATGTCGAGGGATAAGATCGAATTTCGGATTACACGACTGTTGCATGTATGTGTTTTGAATTGTTATGGGATATGGCTTCTCGAATAAATTGCATACGATATTTTAACGAGTTTCGCCTTTATTTCTGCGGCACACCTTTGCCCTCAGAGCAAGTTTACATTGTGAGAATTTACACTCTATATATAAAAAAGTAGTATAAATTCCAAAAGATTAATTTTTCCTTTCTAGAAACTAGTGTCTGAGATAGCCTGCAAGCATCTGTGATGTAAACAGCTTACAAGCGGCAATAAATATTCCGTGAATATGCAATTTATAGCAGGATTACGATTTTACTACCAGTATTTCCAAGTGAGCTAATATCTTACATTCATGCTGTGCAGTATTTCCATATATCCGTTACGTCAGAAACTGCGAAAAATTTATTATTCGCGTTTTATCGATTAACAGTTTTATACGTAGAGAAAAAAAATATATTAGCATATCACACAAACTGCAGACGAGTCAAGAATGTCAACCTGTTATAAAAAAAGCCACGTGACGATTGTATATAATTGAACCTTGAAAAGCCAGATGGTTTAAAGCGCGCGCATTACGATAAACGAATATAAAAATAACAGCGTGATCAAGAGAGCGAAACGCATTGTCGCGAGATTTATAAATTCTCCGTTCCAATATCCTCCGAATTTGCGACTGATATTCGCGGGAATCGGATATTTTATGGGAAAGATATTTAACATCAATCTAAAAATAATTTAAAAATAAAGTATAATTGAATAATCGTAAAAAAGTGTTATGCAATGAAATACGACAGAACTCAAAAATACTAATAATATAGTCATGATATCCTAGGCATTTTAGCTGTCGTTTTTTTATTAGCCAAGCCTGGTGAATTCTTGGATTTTTCCATTAGTATACTATGAACCGCGATAAAGATTGAAAGTAACGGCATAGAAAATTACTTCCTAGCATTGTTTGTGGTATAAAAAGTTTCTCAGTCTCGGTTGTTGGTTAGAGGTATATCGGTAAACGCTCATCGCAGAATCTGATCAAGAGAGTATACGTTTAAGTTTAATTTTAAAAGGATTCAAGTTTAATTTGAAAATTCCACAATGTTGATTGGCGCTTTCGTTTTATATATTATTATATCGAGGAAAATTGTCATCGCATATATTAATAATCTAAACGTTAAGGGGTAGTTCATTAATATCGCATAATAATTGTTTGTTATTTGTCTTCAGAGAATAAAAAAATCTAATGCAAGAAAAACACGTGAAAATATAGTATTCACTGCAAATATCGTATAACTCAATGGAAAATTTAAATCCATTATAATATTATATCATCAGAAATCTATATAACTTTTAATATATCTATATTAATAAAGAATATAATATTTTTTGAAGTTAGTAACATCTCTCGGAAACAAATAGCCCGCGCGTAGCGCGCGCATTGTGTTTCGTCCTAATATTAATAAAGACTTCGAGTTTATGTGACATAAACAGTAACGTCAATATTTCCATCCGCAACAGCTCGCTTTTCTGAAATTAGCGTTCCCGTTTGATTTTACGTACGAAAGGACAACGAGAAACAACCGAAGTAGGGAGTTCGCGCATATAGTCACTTCATCGCGAGAAGAGAGACCACGCGTTATTCTCCGCGATATAGAACAGAGTTACGATCATTCCCAGTTCACAAGAAGGCCGGCTGACGGAGTGCACGGGTGTCTCCGTCTTTCTCTCTGTCGCTAAAGACCATCGGAAGTACGTCGTCCAGAACGTTTGTGTTTATAGTGTTGTGATTCTTGGCTCAAAGACACTCCGTCATGCCGACAAACGATTTTCGCGCATCAGGTAAGACATTCTCATTAGATTTTCTTTATTCGGCGATAAATTTCGAGGATAAGAGTTTTGTTAGAAATATTTTCCTTCATGATGATAGTTGAGAGACGTAATTAACGTCTCTCAAATTGCTGTTCATTTATATAATAGAATTTATATAATAGAAAACAAATTCGAGTATACATCTTAAGCGATTTTAACGAGCGATTAAATATTACAAGCAATTCAGAGTTGAGTATAATAAGACGGAAACTGTAAATAAAGCTATTAGTGTGTGCCTTATTATGTGTCATTTTAAAATAAATCTTTGGATCGCGTGCGAATGTTCCTATGTGTCACAATCATTCGTTTCGTGTCTCGTAATGGTCAATAGTACAGTGATAGTAACGTTATCGTTCTTGAATAAGTAACGCTGGACTATTGACCCTAGTCCAAATACCGGAATAGTCTTCACCTTCAATCTCTGGTTGAGCGAAAAAAGTTAAAATAGAATTTAATTATTTTAAACTCATCGTGATTATGTCGCAAAAAGAAACACAAGATTAATATATAAAACTATTTCTTCGGACTGCTCTTCTCTTTAAGATTTCTCGTTAATATTTCTTGGATCTAATATATGTACATATTTCAAAATCTTTTACATTTAAATTTATTCACTTGAACAATCACACGCGTAGATTGAATATGAACAATTTTGTCATTAACATAATGGATGTCCGCGCAGCATAGCATGCGCGATATATTATATAGATATAATTCATGTTGTAATATGATTCATGATAATATAATACGATAATCGTATATGTCACCGCAAAACAAAGACTCATTACGACAATTCTCTCCTCCACGCAATTATGTGACATTGACGGACGTGCGTAACAGGTGTTGACCGCTTTTAAATGAATCGAAAGGTCTTGTGCAAACACAGAAGCAAATTTTAATTTGAATAGTACTTATATTGCTATCGCACTTCCATCGGATTATCATGCATAATGTGCGTTGAGAAACTATTTTTAAGTTTTGTTCATGGTCGTTTATTACATAACGTATAAATTATAATTTTATCTATTGATACGCTAAATCAATCTCGCGCAACAAGATTTATAAAAATTTTTTGCGATAAATATTGCGAAAACTTTTTTCCGAAATCGCTTCAACGATTTCTTCTTCATCCGTTTCGACTGGAGTACTATATTTATTGACAAACTATAAAAGATTTTGATTCATAACAGCACAGAATGTTTACACGTCAACTGCACTTTTCTTAACTACTAATGTTTCAAGATATAATTTTTCACACTCTGCCTGCGCGCCTTACTGCGTGAAATATTTATAATGAAAAACGAAATACACGTTTGTATAATCCATGCGATAAAAAATATACTAACGCACGCGATAGAATTTTTATACGATTCAAACTGACTCGTGACTGCTTGTCAAAATGATTATCTAGATTTTTGTTGCAAGCGATTCTGGTCACAAAATCTTATCGTGCTATTAATTACTGAATGAATGTGAGAAAATTACAACGATGTTATTGACTTTACATATCATAAATCTATAATATATTTCATTTAGTTTATTTTTTAACACAAAATAGAAAGCTAATAACTTATTAAAATTTACAAAGATATGACATGCGTAAAAAGATATTTGATACATTTTTTATTTCTATTTTATTACCGTATTAAATCTGTCTAATTTATTATCATGACACATATTAATGATATCGAAACGTATCAGAAGATTTCGTCAACATTATCTGCGCTTACGAAGTAGCGCAAAAATTCGGCAGATAAAATAAAAATCATATTAAGTCATATCATACGATAGATAAGATTTCCTGGCATGAGCAGAATTTTTTACCTATCTCATTTTGATAAATCATACTAAGGACTAAGATTCCGTCGACATTAGAAATCACTATTTACAGAGACTTCGTTTGCGCATTTGCCGAATATATTTCAACGGAAATACATACGAAAGATCATTTAGCAAGAATATTTATTCAATGATCGGCATGAGATTAGACTTTCGACTCGCCGCTACTGAATAACTCGTGCTATTGGCCTTTATCATACTGGTGTGGAAATAAACCCACTCGATATCGCGATACACAAGTTAC